TGCATTTGTTGAACGTGTATCACTGAAATGCTGCCCAAGATGCATCACTTCATCTTGTGTAGAACTTGAATCATCATGTTGCATGATTTGGTAAAATAAAAGAGATTGTGAAAGAGACAACCGTAAACATTCTGTTTGAAAAGATGTGCTCTTTTCAAAAGACCTTTCTGTTAGAGCCAAATAACACAAGAAGCAATATTTCCTTGCTTGCAGAGACATATATATTTATTTCTGCAAAGATTTGTTTTGGATTCTCAGTTCTTCCAGTATCTGCATTCTTTGAAATAATTTTATATTTCCATGTTGACTTTCTCTGTGCTTTAAGTTTTAATCAAAGGTTCCTTGCTTCTGATGTCAAGGAGTACTGATGTTAGCCTGTTTACATTCCACTATTTTTCCTCTGTATGGGGTGAACATTCAAATGTGGTGGTGCCTTTTTGCTTTTATCTGCCGAACTTAGCACACTCTGTTATTATTGACAGCTCAAAAAGGTGGTATGCTAGTGGGCAGGATGCTGTGAATTATTAACTTTTCTTTGCACTTTGACAAATTTAGGTTATCTTTCTAAAGACAAATTGTTTCTTACGAAGGAACCAAGACCGTAAATAAGGCATTGCAAACTTAAACTTCAACAATTTTTAGCCAAATGTGAATTTAACGTATTTCTGAAACATGGTTCTGAGTTACATTTCTTTCATAGGACTTGCATTTTTTCATTTCGTAGACTGAAGTATAAGAGGAAAGATTTTTGTTTGTGATGTTTCATTTAGATTTCTTTCTCAGTGTGTTTTTCTGCATGGATTGATCAACAAAGCAGTAAAGAATGTATATTACCACTGAAAATCCCCTCTACCTTTTTTTCTTAGAAATGCGATTTCGCAAAAGCCGTTTATTTTGTTCTTTCAATAAAGAGCCTGCACTCAACTAATCTGTGAGCAGTAAAACGTGCAGGAAACATATGTTTGCCGGGAAGCTGTTCTATAATCAAAATGGTCAGCAGGACAGAAACCATGCTCTTTCTCTCATTAGGTATTAATCTTCTTCAATTTTTAAAAAAAAACACACACACAACACTGATTAATATATACAAACGCGAATGAATCAGAGACAGCATATGCTGCATTTGGTAATAGGCGCTTACTTGAGTTAATGTTTAGGTTGTGCTGGCAGTCCCAGCCCCGGCACCAGAAAGGTCTTTGCAGTTGGGAAGCTCTTGGCGTTCTTGGGCGGCAGACAGCAGGAACGGTGTCATCCATGGCACAGTTTGCCTTGAAGCAATTAGCAGGACCGAGGTTCCTCAACGAGGAATGTTGATTTCAACTGCAGGAGGAGAGCCAAACAAAAGAGGTTTATGCAAGGTACAGTAAGGCAAGCAGCAGGTTGACCACAGGTTGGTTAGAAAATGCAGTATTGAAAATATTCATGAGGAATTGCATTGGAGATACAAAGTTACCAGTGACAACAGTAATTATTGACAGAGCCACATACCTACATCTAAAAAGCTCTGGAATGATGCAGAAGCGGGCAGTAGCATTCAGATGCCAGTCGTTCAAACTTCCATCCTTTGGCAGTGCATCTGTTTATCGGGAATTATCTCCTGAATGTAAATGAATTTCAGACCTAAGTCATTGCACCTGTTGCCAAGAGGTATTTATTCCAATCACTTGCCTAAAGCGCAGGGAGTTATTGCGTGACATTTTATAGCTCCAAAAAAAGCTGTCGTTTCAAAATCATTTGTTCAGAGAGGAGAAAATGGAGCAAAACAGTTCATTTTACCCTAAGCACTGCTATTTGGCAGTATTCACATTTGCACGGCACAAAGCTGCAATATTGATTTTTCGCTCACAGGGCCTCCCACTGGTTCTTTCTTCGATTGTCAGGGCTGCAAGATGGATTGAATTACACTTTGCTTGTTGATATGCTTATTTTTTCTTTGTTGATAGGAAAAGGCTACAAATAAAGCTTCAGAATAAAGATCACAGCAACTTTGTTAGCGGACTTTAAATTTATTTATTTATTTTATTCAGTTAAAATTATTTCTGTGCCATAGAGATTCCTTAGAGCAGTCTCCCCGCCTAACGCATGCTGCATTGTTTTGCTTTATTGCTTGCTGCTTTTACAGTGTAACACCTACATTACAATCTCAGGTGTGCTCTCTGTTGCCTGTGAAGTGATCTAACTTCGCTCTAGTATTTTTAATGTTTGTCCTAATACAGAACTTCTCATGGATGCCTGCGGGGGGAAAAATTGCAGGATAAAACACATTCATAGTACTCATAGCAGTTGCCATCGATGGTGGAATAAGATTTGCAGGCAGCTGATCTCTGTAACAAATTGCGGAGCTCTTGTGTTTGGATTCAAGGTATTTCCTAACAGAAGCGGAGGCTGTGCTGCAGGATCCGCAGTAAGGGTTCGGTACCTGTCCCAGGTAGCCTGGTGTATGTTTGTCAGCCCTGGCCCCATAACGATCCATGCGTCTGACCTGCTGCTGCACAGACGCCGCATGCGTAGCCACCGACACCTCAGCGGCTGTACCCTACTCACCCGCGCCCCTCCCCGCTCTGCCCGTCTGCAAAAATCCCCTTTGGACAGCCGAAGCCGCTGTTCCCCTCCTTGCCGATCGAAACCCAAAAGTGGGGCCGTGCATCCACGTGACAGCACGTGGGAGGCTCCCGTGGGAGGCAGGGAGGGGAGGAGGGGGCGGCCAGACTCCCCCGGTCAGGCCGTGGCAGTGCCCCGCGCCGGGGGAAGCCCTGCTGAGTGCAGGAGGTCCAGGCACCATTGCCGCCAGCTGGGGGGATGAGCTTTATGTGGATGGCATTAAATTTGACAGGAGCGGTAGGATGTAGGAATGGCAGTCACTGGCAGCATTATATTTGGTCCCAACGCGGCTGTCATGATGGTAATTAATCAAAGGAGCTGCTGTATGCATGTGTGGTGGGGGCTTTGCGCGTACCCCTCTCTGTGCCCATTTCACGCCCTCACTGAGCCGTGAGCAGCTTCTGTCTTCATTGTATTAATTTGCTGCACGAGAGGAACATATAGGGTGTTAATGTGATGGATTCATGTTTTAGCTCTTTCGAGCTTTCAGTTCATGATACTTCAGCAAGCCTCTAATAATAGTGTTTGCTATTGTGCACGGTACGTGCAGCCAAACCAACAGCCAGGAGTGAATTTGAGATGGAACTGTGGTGCTTTCTACAGCAATATGGCTTCTGCCCTTATTAACAAATCCTGAAACATACTGGCCGAGTAATGGTACCCGTGTCATGTAGGACATGTAATGTGAAGGCAGACCTGGTTGCTGCGCTCTGGCCTTCCCCTTCCGCCGGGGCGAATTCCCGCCCAGCCAAGGAGCTGGTCCTCTGAGACCTCATCGGTTCTTCTGCAGTAGGGAGAGGTTAGAGTCAGACCGGCCCCTCACATTAGTTTACTACACAAGTCGGACAAAAGCTGGTGCTGGTGCAAAGGGGAAGGCAGGGGCGTGCAGGTAGAGGAGGGGCGGACGGGAATTAGCCAGGGGCTCTGGCTGCCAGGGAGCCACATCCTGACACTGGGCGTGATCATTATCAACAGCTCTTTTTTGCAGTCCTAACAGATAATCATCGTCATACACTAGGAGTTTTAATCCACAGATCATTAATTCAATAGAAGAAGTGACAGCCTCTGGTTCACGTGAAAATTTACTATCAAGGGGTTACCTCAAGTTGTTCTTGATCTTTTTAGATCCTTGCTTCCTTGCCTCTTCTAACGCATCATACTTTTAATGAAAAGTTTATTTTCTTTGCCTTCAAAACACCAGAGCTCCAACTTTCCATACTTACTAGCTGTTTCTCTTTGCTGTCACAACTTGTCTCCAGCAGCCTGCACTGAAATATTAATGGCCTTGTGCTACTGTATTAGGATGACTTTTTTTAAAAATAGGAAATACCTGTGATTCTGTTGAAAATTTAGAAAGGATTTACTCTTCTACAGAAATAGGTATTTAACACTATCATGTTACCCAGCTTGTCTTCCAAAAGACAGTAATGCACACATTTTGTAAGAAACAAATATTCTGTGTACAAGAGAGCGTAGTATACAGCTACAGTTGTTTTTTGATGCAATATTTTTTTGCATAAAGAAATGTCCGTAAAAGGCGAAACAGCTGGGTGAATATCTGGACCATTGTTTTGTTTCTAAAGCATTTGATACTGCTTCATTACTCTTAGAGAAGTTACCTATTTTTAGGAATTCTCTCATGCGGAAAAACATGATAAAAAAGAGAATTCCCTGAAACCCATATGTAATTTTTGGGAGGGACAGGGAGATTTTATACAGTATACATCTGCAGTTTGCTGATCATTTATTTGTGATAATATATCTGACCATATATTTGTTTGAAATCTTATCTGTCTGTGGTTTAATTTATGTAAAAGGCACAGTAAGGAGCACTGAAGTTCAACTGGGTAAAGTATCGGCATGTATATTGGATCTGGTGGCACAGACATGTCCATGCTGGGGACATAAAGTAGCTAAGCAAAAGAAACCAACTCCTCCTGGAGAAAGGAAGATACAAATTAAGAAAGACTAATGAAGTTGGGACTATGGCTTTGGGGTTGGGATTTTTTTTTTGCTTTGTTTTTTTAAATCACTTCTGCATTTGCAAATCCTGCTTGCTCTGCTGCTTCCCACTTTCAGACACAGCCTGTTTGACTGTGCCCAAAGAGGGAACGTGCAATGTAGCCGTGCAGACAGGCACCACTGTCTGCCCTGGCAAGGGTTAGAAGAAGTGAAGAGGAATTTCCTCCTTTCCCAGATTAAGGACACAGCAGCAGTGGTGTAGGGATGTGACAGTTCCATGAAAGATGCTTCACTTAACACGGTACGAGGTCAAACTGTTTAAAGGTGCGCTTCCTTTAGCACACTGATGAGAGTTAGTGCCTATGTGACAGAAAAAGAATAGTCCAATGCAATATATTCTTTAGGCTCAGTCCCTTTTTTTTTTCTTTTTTTTTTAGGTTTCAGCCGAGCAGCACTACCGTTTGGTTTGGTTAGGAGGGAGCTGTCCTGCGAAGGTTACTCCATTGACCTCCGGTGTCCAGGAAGCGATGTTATTATGATCGAAAGTGCTAACTATGGACGGACAGATGACAAGATTTGTGATGCTGACCCTTTCCAGATGGAGAACACAGAATGCTTCCTTCCAGATGCCTACAAAATTATGACACAAAGGTAAAAATATATACATCATTTTGAGGACTAAAGAGGAAAAATGCCTGAATTAGTACAGTAAGAGGTATATACTGTAGGAAATGCTGAGTTGTAGTTTGCTATTGAGGTAGTATTTCTATCTAGTAATGTTAGAAGGAAGTATTACTATTACAGAGGGTTTTTTTTAAATTCCATGAGCAAAAGTTAAAAAGCAGGAAGATAACTGCAAGGAGAATGGAACAATTCACTTACTCGGAGATTCCCTGTCTCCTTGTCTTCTAGGTGGTCAAACAGCACTCAAAATGTGTCCAAACGGCTGCTGCATTTTTCAGTAACTTCTACATTCCCTGGCAAAGTTACACATTTCCTATGAATGCAGTAAATCATTGCTCACCTGTAAAATGCATCCAATGGAAAATGCCAGAATGGTTAAATGCCAGGATGATTCTATGTCATTATACATGTGTGTACAGAAGCATATATGCATATAAGCACAAGTTACATTATGTCTTAGTAACAGCAATTGTCATTCACAATCAGTCAGAAGAGCCAATGAAAGTGTTTTTAATACAAAAGGTGCATCAGAACTAAGATTCACAGAAATTCCTGTGCTACAGGCCGCATACGGGCAGCGGTCGCCTAGTAGTGACAATTGTGGAAATGTCAGGACAGATCAGTCACTGGCATTGTTACCGGCTTAAACTACAAGCCTGAATAAGTTCAGGATTGGTGGGAAGTTTTCCTCCCAGTGCATTTTTCCTGGGGTGAGGAATCTGAACAAAAAAGGGGATGGGAATAACCCGGGAGCTTTCTGGTGCATGTACACAGACGTGTCAAATGCAACATGCGAGTTGTCCTGCATGCTGTGCTCCATTTACTGTGTTCTGTTTGAACATGGGAGCATTCAGTAACATATAGTCATGTCTTAAAAATAATCTTCCATTTGGATTTCCCAATTCACTCAAGTTGTCATGAGTGGGACTCTTACAATTTTTTATCATTTTCTTGTGAATACACGCACGTTCTCTACTTCTGTAGTCAAATATTTGGGCTAGATCTCAGGCTTCAATTTCAAATGCTGGAGGTAAATTAAGGGTATCAGGCCTTTTATTCTTGTTCTGTGTTCAACCTGTGACTTGTTCTGTGTTCAGTAAGGGAAAGGCTCCATTGCTATGCTAGTAAAAAGGTAATATAACTTCTTTAAATCATGTTTGAATTATCTTTTTGTGGTTCTAGTTCATTGTTGTTAATTAGATCAAGCCAGATTTCCATTGAGACTGCAGAAGCAGTGTCATCGTCCTCTAATCTGTCAACTCCCTTTGAAACCACCTTCAGTTGCTTTTGTAAATGCAGTGCCTCTCCGTAGACTTCCTTGTTGTGTAAAATGCATGTTGTGTTTTGATCAAAGTCCTCCTTACGTTCACCGCAAATACACAGATTAAGGTAGTCAGAGACAAATATAGAGGCACAATTTGCTTTAAGTGACATCAAACTGTTACTGCAAAGCTGAAATTTCAATCTTCCCCTTTCAGTTAATCAACTGTAAGTTTATGATAGCAGAGAGTATTTTTGAACTTCCCCAATCTTCCACTCTCACCCGTTTTTCAGCAGATTAAAATGAAGTTGTGATCACGTGTATGACATTGGTTCAGAATATCTGTGCTCAGAGGGAGTTTCTCATTTTTGTTCTTTTTTTTTTGTCTGAACAAATGGCAAAGATCATTTGACACTTTGCTTTCTATTTTTGTCTGGCATTTATAGTAATTTGGAAGTTTGCTTTCGTAGTTTTCTTTCTCAGATCCTGTCATTAAGTAGAAAAGCTGTCTCTTGCCTTGTTTAATCTTTTCTCAAAATTGCTCAATTTGTGCTATATTGCAAGCATAGAAGAACATTGCAAATTTCTTATGAAATATTAAAAGTTCTTGTATCTCATTTATTTATAACTGCATTGGTGATCATAATTTTTTGTTGTCTAAGGCAAATTGTTGTTTGGTACTCAGCATGTCCTTGATCTGATACCTAAAAGTATCACATCAGCTGTATTTTGATGGCAGCAGTTGCATAGAAAATTTCACCTGAAGGACTATCAGATTCATTGGTAGTCTCTTTTTTTTTTTTTTTAAACTGACTAGAAAACCCCAGTGTTAGAACATTTGATCACAGGGAAAACTGTTCTTCCATACCTTTAGAAATAAGCAGCAATAGTTTCTACATTGCTACTTAAAATCTTACAATGTTTACTTTTAAGGACTAAAGATATGTTTTTATCACTTCAGCCAGCAGTGTTTTTACCACTGCGTTTGACCACTCAAGTCAGTTTAGACCTGCAGTTAAATGTAGGTCCACAGCAATTATTAAATACTCATCATTCATTTGCAACATTACTCCACAGCTTTTGCACAGCAACTACACTTACTGCAGTTACAACGTGAAAACACTAGCTTAATGAGATCAACACCGTGAAACCTGAAGATTGAAAAATAAGATGAGGTTTCCAGTTTAACACAAAGCCATGTAATCACATGCCCTGCTCCCCTTCCAGAGAATTTGAGATACTAGCACACAAACTTTGCCAGTGTCCACTGATGCATCAGTTCCTCTTTCTCAGAACAAGCTGCTACTTAATCTTTTCTCCCTCTCTTTTCTTTCTTTTCAGCAGTTCTCAAAAGATTTTTAACTTAATGCTTTTCTGGGAAGCCTGACTAGAACACTAATGACTTCATTGCTTTGCTTTTACCTTTGTAAAGTAGTTATTAAATTTTTAGTCCCTGATTGAAATTACATCCCAATTATTCTAGAATAAAGTCTTTCAGATGTATTTAGATTCCGTGTAAACTTCAGACTGGCACGGTTAAAATTAAAGCTTTGAAGAAAGAGACTAGACCTTTAGAAAATCCCTCTCCCCTTTCACACTTCTCTGATAATTAACCCCCGCCTTTGCATACAGTCAAGTTTGAGAGATCCTACCACGTGCTAAAGTTGAGCATAGAAATGAGCTTATTTCTAGAATACTTGGTGAGGGAGTAGTGTAAGCGAGTGGCAGAGGACCCACGTTTCAGGCAGTTAGATCTTAAAATAGTCAAACTCCGTGGTGCTCCGCTGTCCTTTAGCAGGGACAAATCTCCTCTGTTTCCTCTTCGTTTAAAAAGAAATTAAACGAACAGGGAAGCAGAAGATGCAAAGCAGCCTGAGGAAATTGCTCTAGTTGCTCGCTCGTGAAGTGTGTTTGTGTGGCTGTAGCCAGAAACTGTCGCGAGACTTTGAAGTTGGTAAGGCTGACTAGTACTGCTCTTTATAAGCACAGCAGAGATTTGAAAATTAACATGATAAAATTTACTTATGACCTAGTCTTAAGTCCACTTCCGCTGTACGCAGATTGCAGGTGGATTGCCAGAGCTGCATTCAAACCGCCTGTACGTTTATGGGGACTTTCTGCCTCCAGCATCAACTTCGAAGCCCTGCTCTGCCACTGCAGGTGGATGGGCCATAGGTTTTTGTTAGGACAGGCACTAAGGGTTACATAGATACCACATAGTGTTTGGATTTCTGTTTTATTAGCTTAAAATAATAACATATTTAAAAGTACTTGTAAATGCATGCTTAAAATACATTTCAAAGGCAAAGGCCTTGCCTTACATACATATTGTGAATGTAATTTTATAGTAGAACAATAACCTGCTAAGATGCATTTTTGCATGCTGGGACCTTTCTCTTCTGAATTAAAAATAGGCTTTTTTTTTTAGTAGGAATCATTTTTCCTAGTCCTAAACTTTTTGTTTAGGGAAAGTTCCCGATTATTTTAACGATTAGACACCATAACTATCTTTTTGATTCCAGTACAGTGCAATTAGATGATATATTTTGCCTGTGTATTTAAATAAATTCTTGGGTAGTGTGGCAGGTAATAATTTTGAATAATATAATTTTAAATCTTGAGAAATCAGTATTAAAAAAATGTCAGGTCCATTCCAATCTGTACACCTTATTTTTTGAGTAATTTACAGTTACAGCTGTTGGCGGGGCTTATAGAAAATTAACATTTTGTATTTAAAGAAAATACAGCCTATTAACTCTGAATCTATGGAATCATCTACTTAGACGCAAACCCCAAGCATTTAATGTTGACAGCCAAATTAATGTTAACTTCAGAAATAAAACATTGTTTCCTTCCTAATAAAGGCTAAAATACCTTGAATTTTTAAATAGGAACTAATGATCTGTGTTCTGATACTGGGAGCATAGTTTTGATCATTAAAAAGAGGAAAAATACAAAATGTTTAAAAATACAGACTTTGCAGACTGTGCAAACATCCACATTAAAAAATACAATCTCACAGTTGGTATATTCAGTTTTATTTTTGATCTGCAACAGAAAGGAGGTTACATCAATCCTGCACTGAAATGGCCTTGAAATTCTGTTTTCATCTACAATTTATACTATAATTGTAGCTTTATGTGATCTTCACTAAACATATTTAATCAGTATCGTTTTGCTTTTTAAATATGCACAAACAAAGCAAACCTCATTATAATACATAAGCATAAATATAAAAATGTTAGGTATAATAGATGAACTTAGGGAACTGTAATTTTTTGAAATACCCTTCCTTTGTAAAGTATCGCTGCAGAAGAGTTAAAGGATTAAAAGAGGAATAAATCCTCTTCAGCAGCAAGTGTTTTTTCTGTTGCACATATCCTGTCCTATCTATAGCACACGCAACACATGTACCTTCAATTACCATGTCCGTCATGACACCAGTGAAGGGTTCATGCTTGGGTTTTTGTTACCGTGAACTTTTGGTAATACTCTTAACCTGTTACGTCCATCATCTGTCTGCAAGACAGCTGCGCTGAAATGGAGGGTCTTCAAAATGTAAGCGAAGTGCCTCCTGCCCCACAGAGTGATCAAGGGAAAGCTGAAGGAAGCAGCGTATCCATTCCTTCTCCTGAGACTTTATTTTTTTCTTAATCCTTCCCAACGGGAGAGTGGGAGAATGGAGATGTTCATTCTTTTCCACCTA